GCAGGAATGAAAATGATCCCAAATTGTTGACATGACATCCAAATAATGTAAAATTACTTACATCACATACATCTCAACATTTGGCTATTATAGAAATTAGAAAGTAAACATGACAAGAGTAAACACATGTAATCATATAGCAGCTAGTAACAATTTAACATTCAATTCAGCATAAGATCAATGCACTGGATCCTTGTTGGCATCAACAATTGAAGCATGAACCGTTGATGCCTGATCCCGTAGTGACTCGGATTCCATGCTTTTGGTCCTCTGAAGACTAGGGGTGCGGTGAAGTCTGCAACGAAATGAACCAGCATGTGTGGTTGGAGAACAGAGACAATTGGTCTTAGTCATACTAGGTTGTCTCTGAAGGCCACCTTGTCCTAAATTAGGACTAGGAGCCCCTTGAAACTCCACTCCAGCACCTGACACGACCTCACTTTTAGATGAGACTTGAACTTTCATGTCATCCTTGTTTGTCAGCTGACCATTTTCCATGCTCTTCAATTCCGGCACTACCTAACATAAATTGTACATCATTTCATACAAAATTACTACCCAAGTTGGTGACAACTTCCATTATAGAGTCTGTCGAGCTAAATTTCTCCAAAAACGATTGTAGGAGAACAAAATAGGAAAAAAAATTAAAAGAAATTTCTTGATAAGATAAAATTAACTTATGTATAAATTAAAAATAAGATTTAAGATAAGTTAGTAGAAAAGAACTTTCACAAATTAAAGTATACATAAATTAATTCTAATTTATGAAGATTTTTTTTTTTTTTCATTTTTATTTATTCTTGTAAGAATATTTACGAAGAAGTTTCCTCAAACAAACTCTCAATATGATAAGATGTATCCATGTCATATCATGATATATATTTATTTGACGACCTCACCTTAAGAAGGAACTTGGAGAACCTTCAAGTATCAGGAAGAGCCTTCTGAGAGAATAGAAGCAAACCAAGTGAATTGGGTAAGGCAGAGACAGAGAGAAAACTAGGAAAATGGATATGCATAAGACCCATGCAATGCGATTTAAAATCTCTGGATCAATATGCAACACACAAGTTTGTTTGCTTGCTTTATTTCTATGTCACGGGTCTGGTAATTAATTCAATTAACGCCCCCACCTACATTTTGATCTCTTTTGGATTTGGTATATTATATGTGCTTCAACCACTGGCAACATGAAATCATATCAGATAGAGCCACCGTCATCAAGTTTCCCTCATCTTTCTCTCTTTTTTGCGCAGTTGCAATGAATCATGACGCAAAATGAGGCCCCTAAAGTCCTAAACAATAAGCACCAATGCTTTTCGGACCCACACATGATGGCAGACATTCGAGTGGGTGTCAATTAGCTTACCTTTGATGTGGGTCTCAACTTGCAATTTAGTATGTATGCACGTCTTGATGGATAAGATGCCTTGTCACTACAATATCTCATTATTCAACGTTTGCAATGAAGACACATAACAGCATTGATGAAGATAATAACCAAGACTACTTTTGCCGCTAAAGGTTTATATTGATATTTCCTAGAACTAGGCTTCTAGTTGACAAAGATTAACTAGTATTTTCAGACACTCTTTATTTTTAACAATTTTTTTTAAAATACACCCTGGATTTCATTTTTTATTTAATAAAAAAATGTTAATAACATTCACTCTAACGCTTTTTTTTTCTTAACACTCTAGCCCAAACTTATTAAGAACAATGAATTTTAATAGGTGTTGTGTCTCATTTAATGAATTTCTCTTAATTTTAGAATAAAATAAAACTTGTAATTTTCAATAAATTTTGATAAAAAGTTAAGATAGTGTTGTTAACATTTATCTTTAATAAATCCTACTTATAATTTTATAGTTTCAATTAAATTTAGTCAACTTAATTGTATTTTTTGGGAGAGTTTTGTTTTTATCCATAAATATGACAATATTATTTTAACATAGATGGAATCGAAATTGGGAACACCATATCGACCTCCCATATTTCAGGACAAGCTTTACGATCACTAAGTTAAAAAACTTGATTTTTTGAGAAAATTTATTATTATTCAATTAGAATTAAAGTTTTATAACTCAATAATTTATACAATGAAGATTTACATTAAATATCAATATAAATTATGAGATGAAACTCTACCCCTTATTGGCTAACAATGCTAAAAGTACACAAATAATTGCATCTAAGTATTTTTTTCCAAAAATTTTAATAGTACTAAAAGCAAACAAATCATTTCATCCTAATTTTGTGTATAATTTTAACTAATAGTAAATTAATAATATATTTGAGAGTGTATCGTTAATTGCAACTTCTTAAGCATTTACTTTGATTCTCGTTCAAGTGACTCCTTTCTTCGATAACACTTTTTTCTACCAATATTTTTAGGGATGGCAATGGAACCCCATGGGGACGGGTAATAGTAAACTTGTCCCCGCCCTACTGTATGAAAATTGGCTTCAAACCCACCTCATATCCACATGGGTATCCATTAAGCATGTATCCATGAATTTCTTGAATACTTACAGATATCCATGGATATTTATAAATTTTTTAAAAAGTTAAAAAATTATATTACAAATAATTTTAAATTTATATTTAATGTCATTGAAATATTAAAAATAAAAATTCAATATTAATTTTGAATTTGTATTTAACGTTAATTTTGTTGAAATAATAATAAAAATGTAAGATAATCAATAATTTAAAATACATTAATCTTAAGTAAGTGAAAGTCTCATATCACAAAGCTACAATAATTCAATCTCATAATTCCAAACATAAGTAAACAACTTAAAATACATAAATCTTATTGGTCCAATCAAAGCTAGAAAATTAATCAAATTACATCCAACATAATTCTATGGAAAGAAAATAAGATGAGAGTGTATTTTTAGGGTTATGTGGTACAAGAAAAATTAGGATATTTAATAAATATTATTAAACAGGTACCCGCGGGTATGGATATCATCATACCCGCCCCCGTCTCATTTATAAACGGGTAAAAAATTATTCGTGCCCATTATCTGCGGGTACCCAATTAACCTATCCATTTATTATCCGTAGCGGATTTTACCTACAGATACCCGTGGGTGGGGTATTTTTGTCATCCCTAAATAACTTATTTTTACTGCATTTTTTTATTTCTATAACTCTTAACTTTTTATGACTCCTTTTCTTTCAATATCTCCTTCGTGTTATTGAATTTTGATGTATTTGATATTATTATCAATCAAAATATATTGTTTAAAATCTCAAAACACTATGAGTTATATTTGTTAAGTATATAAATATAAAGTAACATATTTTAATGAAAATCCAAATATATATATATATATATATATATATATATATATATTTATCCAATTAATGAGTAAAATCCATATTAATATGTTTGTGAGTACTAAAATATATGTATTTGTTTACATATCCTGTGTTATTATATTGAAAAGGCAATTAAAATCATAATAGTTATTCTTCTAAGTCAGATGTGTTAAGTTTTTTGTATTTATGTGTTTTATATTGTTTTCTTGAATTAAATGATTAATATTTTATACTTAACCTCTTTCATATTGTTTTCTCTCTGTCTCGGTCTTACCCAATTCACTTTCAGTAAGACCATTGTCTCATTTTTGATGTTGTCGAAGAATTATTTGTTCCAAAGAGCTAGTCTTAACATAATCTTAATGATTATATGATTTTTAAGAAGTGGTTGAATAATGTTTGTGAGAATTGATAGTGAAAATGTTATACTAGCTACTTCTTCTCTTTTTTATTTATAGTTATTTTGATATTTTTTTTTTTTTATTGTCATTTTTTTTAAATCAATGACTTATTATTTTCTTTTTCATTTTTATCCTTGATAATTCATGTATTTACTGAACAATGTGTTTATTCATTTTTTAATATACCTATTTCTTCTCCAACCACCTAAAGGGTATAACAAGAAAATAAGTAATAAATATTTTGAAAAATTAAAATATCATTTTTCTTAATTCTTGTGCATAACTTTAAACGTTAAACAAAAAAAAATGGAGGGAGTAGAATAGAAGTTAGTCAACCAAATAATAATTGAAATATTTGAGAAGATGTCAATTCCCAAGTGGTAGTGGAAACAACTCAAGTTAAAAGTGTAGCTTATACACTCCAAGGCTATTCCTCCTCCAACAAGTGCAATGAAAATTATTGCATTAACTACTCCTATAAGGATATTCATATGGAATGACACCTTGGTGAACTCAACAATAAATATGAAACTTTAGTTTGTAAATTACAAACCAATGGTGGTTGGGTATAAAATAAAGGACTAGTCCCTAACTAAGGTTTCCCTTGAAAGAGGATACATAAGATTTAATTAAACCATTTTTCTTGTTCATATTTCATTTTATTATGTTATTTTTCATTTTTCACTTTGTAACATTGTGCTTTCATATATGTTTGTTTATATGTTTTTTTGTCGTTGTATGTTGTTTGGTGTTTTTAGTTGTTTGCTAAAGCTCTGAAGGTTAAGGAATTTTTAGAGTTAGGTTATTATGAGTAGTTTGAGTTGAGAGTTAAAGAAATGAGCTCTAGGACAAGGAAGAACACCTCCACACTAGATTGTTGGAGTTTCGTGCGTAGTTTTTAAAAATAATTTTATTAAAAGAATTCCATGAACAAAATAATTTCTTTACATGGATAACACATTGCCTAGAACCATGCTAAAGGTTTAAGGTTTTACCTTTGTAGTGAGCTTTATACCTTTAGGAGGCTCATATATGCAGTTTAAATATGAACACTTTCTTCCTTTTGATAAACAAGCACCAAAGGGTATGGTGCCTCTACATAATCCAACAAAGAGGGCGAGGATTCGATGTTAGCCACAGGTGGATAAGGTTTGGGTTTTGTGCCTCTCATAAAACCCTTAGAGAAACCTCTATTTTTCTCTTTTAGAAAGATGGATGTTGTAACGACCTGATAGATCTCTACACTTAGTATAGCTTGGTGGCTATACAATGGAAAACATAAACATCAACTAACTTAGGATTATCATACAAGTAGTACCTAGATATTCATGTAACAATATATATATATATACATATATATATATATATATATATATATATATATGTATATGTATGTATGTGTGTGTGTGTGTGCACGTGCATGTGTGTATGTATGTATAAGAATAAACAACTTAAAACATAAAAATCCCTTAGTGGGATTCCAACACAATCATATACTCACACACATAAATACACATAAATATCATAACTACAAAACATAAAAGTCCTAAGTTGTCAATCAAGTAACGAGTAGCTATATCAGAATAGCCTTCACTAAAAACATGTCATCTCTTGCATGACACAATGTCCTATTACCCTTCAGCCTAAACCTATCTTACTCTCATAATAATATGATTATTGTAATCCAACAACAAGGAAAAGAAAAGGTGAACTTGTACACAAAGAAAACATCATGTAATATAGAAGCTAACAACTAACTATAAAAACAATTTCATCTCAATTATACAGTTATTATAACTATAAGCTCTAGTTAACAACACATAACAACAAAATAATAAATCACATAAGGTCAATCATTTCACATCTTAAAATATTAACAACTTAACAACACAATATATTCACAACATAACATTTTTATTCATCATCACACATTACAACTAAAAATCTCTTACAACGTAAATGAGTAGTTTAAGTGGATTGATTGTATAGAATCAACACACACAACCTTTCATCTTTAGGCCAATACAGCATAACTTTTTTATATCAATCCATTTTCATCACAACATGATTTCATGGATTTCACTACTTAAACTAGAAAGTTAGGTACTACTTTTAGGTACAGTATAGCTTGGGTGTGGGCTTGTTGTAATACTACATGATTTTGATGTTATTAATTAAGTATATGATATATATGTTGATTAATTGTTGAATAGTTGTAATTATTGTTGTTTTAGAGCTCTAAGGGTAAAGCGATCCTTGAGAATTAAGTTGTTGTTAAGGTAGTTTTAGTTAGGATCTAGCTAGCCCAACTTAGGAATATAAGGTTTTCCTTAAGATGTTAACCTCATAAGTTCATATCCTCAAAAACCTAGAGAGAAGTTAGAAAGAGAGATTATAGAACCAGATAGAGATCTTTTCTTTTCTAACTCCTTAGAAACCTTTTAGATCCTTCCCTAAGTTGAATAGCAAAGATAGATTAGATATTCAAGCTTTAGGAGTAGAGAATCTCAAGTTGAGAGAGTCATACAATGACCC